TGCCGGCGAGTGGTTTGGACTCCGCTGGCGGGTGGAAGAGACACGGCGCCAGCACCACGCTCGCTCCTCAGGGCGTCTGTCTGCACCAGTCCAGGCAGTGCCCTGCGGGGGGTATGTAGCCGCCTGGCCAGAAAACCTCCTCTCCCCTCTACCCCGCTCAGTGTGGGCCCTGCCCTTAGGAGCAGTCCTGCTCTTCTGGCACACGGGGCTCGCCCGTGCTCAGTGCTCCCTGCGTTCCAGACACGGCGCCAGCACCACGCTCGCTCCTCAGGGCGTCTGTCTGCACCAGTCCAGGCAGTGCCCTGCGGGGGGTATGTAGCCGCCTGGCCAGAAAACCTCCTCTCCCCTCTACCCCGCTCAGTGTGGGCCCTGCCCTTAGGAGCAGTCCTGCTCTTCTGGCACACGGGGCTCGCCCGTGCTCAGTGCTCCCTGCGTTCCAGAACAGCGGAGCTGGGGCTGGGTCAAATTCAGTTGAGCAAAATCCCCCCCACCTGCTGAATCGCTAACATCTAAGCACAGTGTTTCCATGGACAAGGCAGGGCCTCTGCCGGGAGCCCCAGCACGTCCTGCAGCCCTGTCCTAATGACTGGCACGTGCCGCTTGCTTTTCCCACTGCTGCGAGGGGCCCGTGCACCGCTGGCTGGCCTGGGCGGGGAAGGAGCAGCTCCCTGCCGGGAGCCCCAGCACGTCCTGCAGCCCTGTCCTAATGACTGGCACGTGCCGCTTGCTTTTCCCACTGCTGCGAGGGGCCCGTGCACCGCTGGCTGGCCTGGGCGGGCAAGGAGCAGCTCGTGCTACTTCTGAGGAGACAGCTGGTGCTTTGGGCAATGAGGAGAGACCCTGAGCTCAGCTTGCTGGCGAGTGCCCGTGCGGTCTCTGTCCAGCCGGGTGTCTCCTCCCACCAGGCAGCGCAGCAGAAGCCAATTCCAGCGTGTGATTTTCGAAGGCAGGCTCTGTGGCGTGTGCTGGGGCCCAGAGCTGGGCTGGGTGAAGCCAAGGCCCGGCGGCCGTGCACCTCTGCTCTGGTGCTCTGCAGGGGCCAGCCAGCTCCACTCTGGGATGCTGGCGTGGAGCACAAGCCTGGCCTGAGCCGCTGGCCTTGGCCGTGGGCACCTCGGGAGGTCTGCAGGCAGCAGCAGCCTGCCCCACCCGGCTGGGCCGGCACGGGGGGTGCAGGACGTGTGGGGAGCAGATTTCGTCCAGGCTGCGCTGACCCGAGGAGGCAAACACGCCCAGGGCCCTCGCCGCTTCCTCTGGCCCCAGAGCTGCGGTCCTGCGGCCCCCTGGGC